CTACTACTTCTTCTACTTCTTCTACTACTACTACTCCTTCTCCTACTACTACTACTACTACTACTACTTCTACTACTACTACTGCTGCTACTACTACTACTACTACTGCTTGTGCTACTGCTACTGCTACTGCTACTGCATCTCCCGCTCTCTCTCCCGCTTCTGCGATTGCGATTGGGACTGCAGCTACTACTGCTACTGCTACTGCGTGTGGCTGCGGCTGCGGCTGCGACTGCGACTGCAACTGCCGCTGCTACTGTTGCTGCGACTGCTGCTGCTCGGGCTAGTCTTTTGCTGAACGGCTGCCCCTACTCGTGCTACTGCTACTGCGACTGCTCTGTACTGTACTGCTGCTGCTGCGACGGCGACTGCGACCTGGAACGCGAATGCTACTGCTACTGCTGCTGCAGCTGCAGCTGCTCGGCTGCTCGTGCTACCGCGACTAGGTCTACGGAAACTGCTGCTATTCGAAGCGGGGCCGCGAGGTTTTTCCTTTGGCTCTCGGTGGACCCTGCGGAGCTCGCTGATGTCGCCAGGGCAAAGGGCCGGCGTGGGGACGTGCTGAGCGAAGTGATGCAGGTGGGTGCATACAGATACGGAGGTGAGTACAAATACGAATCGGAGCGCACTCTTGTTCACGTACATCTATACGTTCATTCAATGCATACACGTGTTGTTACGGATATCTACCTGTACCTGTGCATAACCCATACACCAGCACCCAAGCTGAGAGATGTAGCTAAAAGCATACTGACATACTGTAACGAAGCTCGTGGCAGGGGTGCTGTGGGTTGCACGCAGATGGGTAGTTCTCTACATTAGGGTCCCTTTTTAAGTCCCAATATAGTACGGCACCATATAAAAAGGACCCCTAGAGGGACCCAATTTAGAAAACTACCCAGATGTATACCCCATTCGGTGTAGACTCCAGCAGGGAACATCTTTGGCATCTCTTGACAGGAGAGCAGGAGAGCATCGACCTGGTAGGCATCGTATGAGCGCTTCTTATCAGTCTTGTTCAGCCACTGAAAATTTTTGCGAACGTGTGTGCATGTAAGATGTAAGTTGGAAGTCAGGTATAGACAATGCCTTCGAATTCCGATTTTCTTCTAAACCAGGCCCTCCGTGTTGGCTGGGGCCCCATAGATGGAGGTTTCCCTAGTGGTCTTCTTGTCGAACTGGTGGTACGCTTGCTGCACTGCAGTACACACCGCCCTCCGAGATTCATCCAGCGCCCTCGCAGTCCCAAACGCGCTTAAGCCTCTTCCTGGCCTAAACCCTAAACCCTAAACCCTAAACCCAAAGCCTCTTCCTTGACGGAAGGAGACCCTTGACTGGTTCTGGGACTTGAACGTCTCCTGGGCCGCTGGAGCCCCGGCAGTGTAAAGGGCTGAGTTTCTGATCTCGATAGACAACCATAGCAGTTGTGGAGTAATAGGGGTTGAGGGTTTAGGGTTTCTGCTGGAACATGCACTCAGAACACGACAAGGCTGCGTGGCTAGTACCCTGCAGCCTTGCAGTTGTTCGCCGCCGATTGCCAGGAGGTGCATGAGTCTGGTTGGCCACTCTTCAGCATCTTGGCAGCTGTTGGGACCCTAGCTGTTTCTCATTCCTGTCGTTGCTGTGCAGACTTCTGTATGACAGTTTTCGCTGCTGAACACCGGGAGAAATGTTCGCCCGGCCGAGAGAAGGGGTTGGCTTAAGGTATCATTTTGGGCGAGGAATGACTGTTGCTTTTGAAATCTGAGCTCTCTCTGACAAGTGGGCCATGCTCCACATGGTGGGACCCCCCGAAATTATCCAAATACCGGTGGTGAAGCAGCTGAAGGCTCAGTCCTCTTGATGGTGACATCTATATCTGGCGTGCTCCTGGTTTGCGCGGATTGGCTTGCTCGGATTTGAACTTCGCCTGGTTATTGAGGTGTCGGAGAAGCTGCGCGATGATGGCACCCACCCCGGTTTGCTTTTAATGATGAAGCGGTTGGTACTGCATGTGTCGTAGCTACCACCGTAAGCGTGCGTTTGTCGTGATAGTCTTTCGGCAAAATGCGAAGCAGTCTTCATGGTACTTTCTCAGGCCGCTGCTGTCCTGAACTGCCAACGCTTCTGCATTGCTGCACCCAGGTCAGGAGATCTGCACCACGGAGGGGCAGCTTGCTCCGTTCATTGACTCTTTCGACAATGCCATCATGGTCCGAGGCTCTGTCGCTAGCAGGGTCCCCTGAAAAAGGATGTGCCACGGCAATGCCGATTGGCAGCCTCAGTTCCGCCAGTTGACTCGGTATTCGCCAGCAGATGCTCTTGTTGCCCAGATGTAGAAGAGGGTGCACTGCGCTGTTGAAGCTGTAGGCCCTGTAGGCCCTAGCCCCAGTGTGGCCGGGTCACGGAGAACGAAGTGGAAAACGAGGTCTCTGCAGAGCACTGTGCAGTGCTGCTCCTGGAGGCCAGTGCAGCCATGAGAGACAGGAATGGGTACGGGCGAAGCACGGGAAACTTGAGGCAAAGTCAACTTCTCTTCACATTCGACCTGCATGGTTAGTGATAGCAGTGACAACAACATAACACTAGTAGTGATCTAGTAGGGACAGCGACAGCAAGTACATAACCATTGGCAGCAGCAGCAGCAACAACAATAATAATCGTCGTCGTCGTCGTCGTCGTCGTAGTAGTAGTAGTAGTAGTAATAACAATAATAATAATAATAATAACAGTAATTACTATTGTTAGAAGTCGCAGAGATCGTAGCGGTGGTGGTGGTGGTGGAGGCATTTTCGCTGGTGGTGGTGGTGGTGGTGGTGGTGCTGGCAGCAGCAGCAGCAGAAGAAGGAGGAGGAGGAGCAGAGCAGCTGGAGCCGGAAAAGACTAAGGCTAAGGGGACTAAGGGGACTCGGAGAAGCAGCACAGACTTTTGGTGAAAGCAAGTTCGAAAGCTGCCGTGTCCGGTCCTGGCAGGCACCGCATTGCCCCGATGCGGTGGCCTCAGCCCTCCTAGCGCTGGCGGATGTCATGAGGACCACGGCCTGGCAGCAGTCGAACAGGCGCCAAAAATGGGTCACTGCGAGAACTTGTTACGGTTTAGGGTTGAGGGTTTAGGGTTTAGGGTTTAGGGATTGCGACTGTTTTTAGGAGGGTGGAAAAAGCCTGCAAATCAGCGGATGCTGCTCGCAGAATGTTCATCTCGTGTGCGCAGGTACTACCAGTTCACCTCAGAAATGCCTAGAAGGCGGAGCCGTCGCGACCTGAAGTCTGCAGGTAACACAATTGGCATACGTTTGGCATCTTGCCAGTCAGCCACCGGAGCGGGATGCCGAACGGCTTTTGCAGCGGGCAGAGGCGCTGAGCTGATTGCTTTGACTTGCCGTGTGGTGGCAGCGAATCGGGCTGCCATGAAAGTGGCCATAAACCCTAGAAACCCTATATAAGCCCTATAAGCCCTATAACCCCCTCCCCCCCCTCCAGCTGGCTTTGGAGGCAACGGTGCGATCCCAATCTGCGCGATGGCCTTGGCTGACCACGCGGTGGCCCGTGTGGCGTCTGCTGGACCGCCTTGGTGCAGCAGAGGCATTGCTGCATCATGGTCTAAGGAGCACTTGCAATCCTCTTCTGGAGAACCAAAGCAGTGTCATCCTGTGTCCAGAGTGGATCAGAGCGTTTTTTTTCAATGGGGAGGCCGTGAACGTCAGCTCTGGCAGCAGTTGGTTTTGGATGTATGTCTTTCCTCACAGGCCTGGGCCTTGCTGTGGCTGCGAGCAAAGATGTCGGAAACGGTACTAGCAGCACCAGCAAGGGTAGCTTTTGCTGTAGCGGGAACAGTCACAGGGTGCTGGAAGCAATAGGAATGCTAGCAAAAATTTGTTGCTGCAGCGGTATTGATAGTGGAAACACAGTGGTGATAGGAAGGGGTAATCAGGAAAACCGTAATACACTCAGCACTGCCAGTACTACGACTTTTCTATGCTCCTTTTACCTAGCATGGCTCCACGATGTGTGGCCGTATCTTCACCAGCGCCCCTTGGAAACACTACTACTGACCTTTGAGGACATGAAGTAACGCTGACATCAGTCACGATAGCCGCACAAGTTCTTCTTTGGGATTACCAACATTGTGCATAGTGTCGCATTGAGCCTTTACCACGAACTGAGAACATGAGAGTGCTCCTCGGACAGGGTGCGCTCCGACGGCATCATCTCCAACCGGATCCGTGCCACGTCCAAGGCATCACGGGGGACTCCAGCAGAAGTCGTGCGAGTGCTGCTGAGACCAGAGCCTTGCAGGCATATTGTCTGCAGCTCTTCCAGGACGAGGCTGAGACGCTTTAGGGGCAAGTCGGGCATATTCAATGTGGAAATTGGCCAAGCTCGGCCTGTTCTGCGATAGAGCCTTCTATCTTTTGTCATCATAGGCGAACCGGCAAACTCAAAGAGTGCATAGCGACTTCTGCAGGGAGCAGCACCCCACCCCTGGATGCCATCAGGAGGGAATGTGCAGCACAACTTCTTTTCTTCGTGGTGCTCTTCGTTTGTGCTTGTTGCCGGAAGCAACAGTTGCCAGTCTGGACGATTACGGATTGGTGTTTACCAGCGCCTGTGTCAGTTGCAAGCAACCTGAGACCTCTTGAGGTCGGGCCGAAGTAAGCCCACCCAGCACAGGAACTAGTACGACACACATCGGAGTGACACGTTCCAAGCAGTGCAGATGATGGTCTGAAGGATCAGTTGTCGCGGGAGGCATGTTGCCGGCTATACTCTAGCCCCGCAGTCTTACACAAGTCTCTGTCTCTGTCTCCCTTGCTCCCCTTCCCTCTTGCCTCTTGCATGCGAAAGAGACTCAGCCGCAAGGTCCGGCGGCTTTTGGAGCAGCCAAGGCACCGGCCCAGGAGCGCCTCAAGAGCTCCTGAGCCGATCTTCAAGCTCTGGGGTTAAGGGTTAAGGGTTTAGGGTTAAGGGCCCTACGTAGGAGAACTTCTTCGGAGCTGTTGCAGGAAACTACGGCTGGTCGAAGCGATGTCCTGAGTTGCTGGAACAAGTCAGCAGTCTACAGGCATGCGTTGCGAGAGTGCTGCTCTGGCTGTTGCTTCGGCACAGCATTTTTGTACATTTTCTTGGCGTGCAGTCGCTCTTGAAGTGGTGCCACAGGGGATGAGCACCAGAAATTTGATCTTTCCAGAAGGGACAGCGGTACCGAGGTCGGCCCACACATAGGCCCGGCATGGTTTTTTTCTCGCCTTCATTAAATTGGAGCTGGCTCGCTTTCGCTGATGGCACTGTTGATTGCCTGTAGACTCAACTATGGAATATTTTACATGTGTTGCTGTACGACGTGCTTTCAACAGGGACTAGGTGTCTCTGCTTGTGCATGTGTTCTTCCAGCATGTGCCCAGCTTTTTACCCATGTCCATTGCAGGAGACTGCATGCTTTGGGCTGCGGCGGAATTTCGGGAACAAACTCGAGCAACTGCCGTCGAACCTGTGGCACAGGCCACAGCCCTTCTTTTCTGTGTATCGGTTTGGTGGCAGAGAGAAAAACGGCATGTGCAGGTCGTGTCTCTCTTTCGCCGCAGTATTGCGGCGAATGGCTTTGAGCCGATCATCGCGTGGTGCTTGGCAAAAGAAAGACGACCCAAGTCGAAGCAGCTCCCGGCGCGTCAGGACTTACACCATGCCTTCTGCGGTTCGGAGAATTCCGGAGGCAGGCTCTCAGAAAAGGTAGTGCTGACCAGTCCATGCGTTCTCCGAGACGCGCGTGCAGTGAGCGCGTGTCGAAGCATCGCGAAACAGTGTTCGTCGTCCTTCGCGCGCTCCTCTTCGAGGCACGGAGGCGCCAGCCACGATGCTCCAGCCATCCATTCCGTGGATTCGCTTGCACCCAAGCTTGGTGGATTCGTAGCAGAGCTTTGGAACAGCCGTTCAATACCGCCTCGTTCCCTGATGGCCTGGCGAGGCTTGGATTCCGTGGTGGACGAGGATGTCAGAGCCCTGCCCATGTGCAGAGTCCGACACCTTCATCCCAGGCTCCTGTGCAGACCGAGGTTGATGTCCTGAAGATACACACGAACGGCGGAGAACGTCAAATCCTCGACGGTGCTGAGAAGCTGTTCGTGCGACATGAGGTTCACCGCAGCAGCAAGAGGAGTACTCGTGTTTAGTGCTGCTGCCATTTTGGTTTGCTCACTGATGCGTGTTTGACAAGTTCATCCCCGTGTGTCAGAACACGCCTCAACTTGAGCAGGTTCGCGTGGTGATCCTGCACTCAGCTCGCATCCAAGATCGTTTGAGGTTACTTCCAAATTGGGGAGCCCTACACAATAGGAGAAAGCAAACTGCGAATCCCGCACTGCCGAGCAAAAAAGTATATTGGACAGGAGCCCTGTTGTTGAACAAAGAAGTAGAGGTCGTCTTCTCCCGAAGGACAAGGGAAGCCCGAAAATAGAGAGGAAGGGGGAACGCAGTTTGACCTGAAATGTTGCAGCACAGACTGCAGATGGTGGCAACGACCAGACCATGCCTAGCCGCTTTGAGCTCTGCAGCAGCAGGGTTTTCTGCCATGTGCCGCGTTGCCCCAAATGTGCAAGAATTACTGTGACATCGAACTCTCAATCCCGAGCACTACGATGCAACCAGGCCGAAGCTCACCAGCTCTGGCCATCGACCACCTTTTTATTGCATCGGAACTACGACGTCACCGTGGATGGGCGGAGGCCAAACAGCTTGCAACAAGATGAGGGTCGACCTTGCATCACCAGTCGGTTTTGAAGCCTATGCACCTGGGACCGAGGATGTCTCAATCCGGTGAAGACGAAGCTTGGCTCCGGACCCGTGTGGCGGAAGTCGGAGGGCTACAGCTTCATGCATCAAAAGAGGTATCTATAAACTGTCGACATGGGGGAAATAGTTCTTTCTATGTAGTCTGGTGAGGTTATCTCACTCCAGTTGGTGAGAACACAGATCCATGCCGGCAGACGCTGGTTTAGGGCGAGAGCACATCAGTCAGCGGGAAATTACACGTCAGGATTAGCTAAACGCCATGTAGACACTGGTTTCCAGATGCACGCAGCAGATAGGCCAGAGTGCCTGAGGCACATACTACATCTGGAAGCATTCCAAGATTAGAGATCATTGCGTTTGCCTCGCAGACGCTGGGATTTGGAGTTGTCCGGACGTCGCTGCACAGTTCACAAATACAGAATATATAATCTACCACACACAAGCACACACTCGTGCGAAGATGGGGGTGCGCAAGCCCACTGAGACTGACAGATGCGAGTGCGTGCTGTAGACACCGCAGAATGATAACACAGATATAGTGCTTGATAAGATAATATCATGATTTATAATGTGTCCCCCGAAACTGGGCACGTATAGCGGCCTAAAACGCCTAAGATAAGATCAGATAATCCCAGGGTTAGAAAATTTCAGACTACTTAATTTCAATCACTGAAATCTACGAACATAGTTTTATGATACGAGTACAGTGGGTATCGTACCACTATCAGTAGCACAGAGAGGGCGTGAGAGAAAGACAAGAAAGAGAAAGAGCGAGAACCTGTCAGCTAGACAGCTAGACACGTAAATAAGTAAAGAAAATAACAAAAAACATAACAGTATAGATGTGTTCACAGATTCATACATGTGAATTACACCGCTGTGCGCTGTTCCACGGGGCTTCGGCCCCATGCCCCAACAGAGACAGAGAGAGAGAGAGAGAGGACATGCATATACATCATATATATATATATATGTACATAGAGAGTTTCATACATCAGCAGATCGATACCACAATGTAGTAACCTTCAATGGCGTCCATTCCGTGCAGGTTCCTGTTCGCAGAGTGTCCATCCCTCGTCTTTGATGATGTCTGGCCCCGTGCACATCCGTAATCGATGTGCATCCACGTTCAATCTGTGATGTCGTTCGCCCCACGTGCATCTCTGCTTTGCCGTGCATCCACATGCCGACAACATACAAGGAGGTGTATAAATAAATATATAGATAAACAAATAAATAAATACATAAATATGTACATGTATATCTATCTATCTATCTATCTATCACCTATCTATCTATCTATCTATCTATCTATCTATCTACCTCTATATATATATATGCGCAACGCTCAGTACTCTAGTGTTTTGCGTTCTATATTCCATGTTCTACAATTTTAAATTTGTTTTGCTTTTACATGAGTACGTGTAATGTATGTGCTTATATATGTATGCAATATACATACGTACATGTATAGATGCATATATATATACACATACATACATACTCACGTACATACATACGTACATACATGCAATCCTACATACATACATACATACATACATACATACACACATACACACATACACACATACACACATACACACATACATGCATACATGCATGCATGCATGCATGCATGCGTGCATACATACATACATACATACATACATGCATGCACACACACACACACGGGTGGCGAGCAGCTCGGGTTTCAGGTAGGGTTGAGGCTTCAGGCTTTAGATTTGTTTTGGGGTGTAGTGTTTAGGGTTTACTTAAGGGTTTGGGGTCCAAGGGTTCGGTCATTTCAGATCGGCTAATTACTGGACTTGGTGAGACCGGAAGATGGCATCCAATGGCCATCTCACAGATGCGTTGACATCGTGTGCCTGGTGCAGCTTGCTTTTTCAGAGCTGGCTTGTAGCCCATGATGCGCCCCTCACCGCGAAGCCGATTGGTATTCCCAGTCATGGTACGGTCGAGCTGGATTTGCCTTGTGGCTGCTCTCTGCTTTGCCTGTCAGAGTCTGCAGGGATGCGCAGGGGAAGGAGATTCCACTGGTTCTACGTCGTCCACGAGCACCAGCACATCGTCTTCCACAACGAGCACAAGCTCAACGTCCGCCGCACCATCACCGCCACTGACACCCAAGGCACTTGAATCTGAATGCCCCGCGGTGGTTGCAGCTTGCAAAAAAGACACGACTCTGTGTGATTCGGCGTGGGTGTGTATGGAAAGCAAGATGCACACATGCCAGGATGGTGGTGACTGCCTTGCGGATGCGGCAAAAGTTGGAGTTGACCCGGCCCTGGAAAAGCTTGGTGACTGCTTGGCGCATGCCTGCGAAGCAGGAACCACATCATCCAGCTCGGCATCAACAACAACGACAACCACAAAAGACAGTTCGCGCCCTATGACGGAGCAAGAGATGGAAAGGTCTTGCCCGGGATTTGTGGACAACACATGCAAGGAAGACAAAGTGTGCAAAGACATCTGGCTGTGCATGTCTACATCCATGAAGACATGCAGTGATGGCAGTGAGTGCATCCAACGGACCGTTTCCATCATGCCTCCGACGCCCGCGGCGGAAGAGATTGGCGCGTGCCTGGAGAAGGCGTGCACTGCGGGAAGCTCCACGTCGTCAACTTCGACTCCGGCCCTGACAACCACGAAGGATTCTCGACCCATCCACAGCGAGGATGTGTCAGCAGCGTGTCCAGGCTTCATTGACCAGACGTGCAGCCCCGATTCCACATGTGCCGACGCATGGAAGTGCATGGGCTCGATGAAGACATGTCAACAAGGGAGCCAGTGCATTGAACAGGTGGCGAAGATTGGTACAACCTCTGCACTTGAGGAGTTAGCCACATGTTTGGAGAAGGCCTGTACACCGACTGAATCCGGCAGAATCAAGGTCGTTATTTGATGTTTCACTATTTACACAACCTAAGGTGCCGGCGCGGTTACTTGGACCCGAAGGCCTTTCCAGAATGGGGAACATTGAAATACGGCAAATGATGATTATATCGAAATGAGATCATATTTTTTCCTTAGACAAATTTTTCTTCGAAAAAGATTTTGTTCGATAATATTTTTTTTGATATTTATATTTACGATATTTTATTCTTATTTATAACAATCATTTCTTATATTGATATATTGAATAAATACTGAAATAATTTATAGTGATATATATTCAAAAAAATAAAAATTCTTAAATTTCCGATAAAGATTATATTGGCTCGAAACGATTTATTCTCTCATAAATCTAAGAGATGTTTCTATTATTCTATCTCGCGGGAAAATTTGAATTTGAAATAATATTTTCGAAAGATTTTACGTGCGAATAATGGGGAGATTAGAGGAGAATAGAATAAATCGAAAAGATATAAAGATAATGGCATATTTAAATCGACGATGATAATATATCGTTCTAAATTCGAAAATCTAAATCTAAACTTTAGAATTATAAGTGTTTGTATTTATTGAGTCGATAAGACATTGAATAAGAGATTATTTGATTTTATTTGATATATGATTGAAAAAATTATTTCTGGTTCTGATTAATATTAATAAATATATTTTGTGATTCTATTGATGAATTTCGTCTCGATTCGTTTTTCTTCTTATGGGAAGGATCGCTTAAAATTTAAAGCTTAAAGTAGATTTGTAAAATTCATTATATGGAAGTAAGCGGTATTCGAGGGTTAGATTTTAATAAAGACAATGTTGAATTAACATAGAGATAATTATAAGATGTTTGTTTTAGATATTTATGAATTTCTTAACCTTCGCTCGAAAAGAAAATAATTAAAGGCATATAAAATATTTAAATGAGACTTAGGGTTTAAGAGACTTTACCTGTGAAATATGATCGATATTATAATTTTTCGTTGTGGTATGAGGAAAACTTCTACAGAATAAGATTTTTTTTTCAACATATTAAGCTAGCCCAATTAAATAATCTTGAAATAATAGTGCAATTTTTTTGAAATGGTCGTATATTTTATGATTTAATAGGTTTTATTTTATATCATATATTTCGGATAACCTGTGCCGTGCTCTAACTCATGAATTTGGACTATATAAAATTTAGATAAACTAATAAATCTCCCGCACTCATATATATAATGTAGGGCTACTATTCTCTCCTCCGTCCTCTTCTCTCTCCGGGTAGGATCTGTGGCGAATCACTTCTCCCCAAATTTAATCTTTTTTCTCCAGATTTTATTATTATGGTGGTTTTTATATTCAGATTTTAATTGAATTAAAGTATATATAATATATATTATTTTCTAATTTATTATTATAATTAATAACAATATTCTAAGAATATTTACATATTATTATTATTATTTAATACGATTCTGCTGAAACTATTCATAATATTTTACAGATCCAGATAATACGAATCGAAAATTAAAATTTTTTTGAAAAATCTATTAAATATCAATATTATCGTCATCATTTTTCTATTATTAAAATCTATAAGATAATATATATCTCATAAAATAATTATAAGAATCTAATTTCGAATTTATCATTT